CAGGAATGATCTCTGGGATGACGGGCAATTCTGGGTCCGTGTGATGCTTATTTGACATGAATATTAATTGTGTTGCTGGGCCTGTTCTTGATTTCCTAGTGATTCCTCACAAGATCGGGCGAGTTATAGATGGGAGCCCGGCTGACCAGTGTGGGAAGCTGAAAGTGGGAGACCGCATCTCAGCGGTGAATGGTCAATCCATTGTTGAGCTCTCGCACGACAGCATAGTGCAGCTGATCAAGGACGCGGGCAACGTGGTGACTTTGACTGTTGTGGCTGAGGAAGGTAAGGACGGTACGTGGCCCCAGTAGGTGGATGGGTCCTACCGCACTGCCAAAGTCTGATGTTTGTAACTTCGGAAGTTAATTCACTTAAAGTGGAATATTTTAAGACGTTTGGAAATGAAAGAAAAGAGAGTGAAGCTCATTCGTTTGCTCTGGAAGAGCTGAAGGCAGATGGGGCAGAGAGAGACAGCTGCCAAGATGGTTGTACTGAAAAATAAGATACGAGTGTTACAACACGATGCAGGGTAATAGAAATTCTCATGGTTTCTCGTGTGAGAGAGAGGGGGAGACTGCTGCTCACATGGAAACATGTCCTGTCCACACCTTGTATTCTTTAACCAAAGTGAAATGACCTCTTCTGGGGGAGCTACAGCGGACACAGGATGACGCTCAGAGTTCTCAGACAGTGCCTGTCTCTTGCTGCTGTTGTTGCTGCCAGGAACTTGGTTCCAGATGAGGCAGGTGCTCCTGGGATGCTCTGGAGCGGCTCTGACGGGCAGAGCTAGCGTGCTTTAAGGCTGCAGGGACACCTGCTTTCCCGATCTTCTGCATTTAGGCACTCTGAGTTTTTCCTTCCTGCCATCTTAAAATACACAAATTACCTGATGCTGCATCCCAGGGATACAACAGAAACATCCTGGAGTTCTGTCTGCCAAAACTGCCCTTTGAAAAACGGTCACATCCCACCATGAAAACCTTGCTCAGGGTTTTCCTGCAGAGCCTCCCAAGCTGCTAGCAAATTATTCACATGCAACTGCCCTGTCATCTAAGCAGCAAAGTGAGTATTTGTGACTGCAAAGTCCCGTCTTTAGAGACTGTATTTTTGATGAAAGCTCCCATGCAATGCTGCCTTCAGTATGGTATTGTTTCTACACAAGCAGTTCACTATAAATACGTAAAATCCAATAATTTGAAGAGAAAAGTGTGTTTTCCAACCCTGCTTACCACTGCATTTTTCTGGAGTGCTGCTTGTGGGTTTAATTAAACTTGCTATCATTATTTTGCCAGAAAGTTGGCTTTCTTCACCTTTTAAATGATAAATACCTAAAGCCAGCATGTGAATAAAGCCAGCAGACGATTCTCTAATTTCACATTCATTGCAAATATTTAACATGCTATCTCAGCCTGTAATACAGAATTTCAGACTTAATCTTCCTTTTTGTTAATGCTTGAAGCAAAGAGACTTCTATAAATTGTTGTTTTTCTGTTTTAAGGTTTTCATTTCTACCAAATCTAATTCATTCCAGTTTGAAGGGGCACATGTCCAAGCAGTTGCCTAGGGCAATGTTTATAATGTAACTGAAGTTTGAGTTGGTTGCATTAGATCTGTTTCTCTGGGGCTCTTAATCAGCTTTGTTTTCAAAATAAGCTTTCTGAATATAATATTTTTTCCCCTTATTTATGCATGACCTTACCTGGACTCGGTATAAGAACTTTTGCCACTTCCTCAATTACAGATTTGGAGCCAAAATATAGAGATAAAACAAGAAACTGAGGAGAGTCAACAGAGAGAGGAAAAACAAAAAGTCAGTAGCAGGTGATAAAACTAGACTGAAGAGACCAGTCAGAAAAAACGTGTGGCTTAGAGGAGCTGGATTTGGCGTGTTTCAGATATAAAGAATTTTGTTACAGTGAAGGAGAGAGAAGCAGAACCTGTTCCACTGAAATGGGAATACATCACTACTTTAAAATTCTCCTTGATTTAGCTGGAGAAACACGGTTCAGCTGACAGTATAACTCTCTGTACAGCCGACTCCCATAGAAAGCCAGAGTGGATGCGAATTAGTCAGGGCTTCGGGCGTTTTCCCCACTGCGTTGCAGGGAGAGAGCTGAGCTTCACAGAAATGGTTCACAAGACAGTGGTTAACACTGAGGAAGATGCAGGATGCAGCTCCGAAGAGAAAAATGCCCATTTTGCCAGAAGCTGTTCAGCGTCACAAAGCATAAACCCTAGTAGAGTTTGTTCCCCAGTGCATCATCTTCAGTGCTGTCCTCTGAGACTGGCAACGAAAATACTACTTTGTACCCCTTCCCTCTCCCTCCTAGCTTTCACAGATGTGTGATCTTTGCTTTTCATACGAATAAACGAATTCCACCTCATGTGCCAGAAGACATTCTTCAACATTTTTCACAAAAGCAGGAGCCTGTCAGCTTTTGTCATGTATTAGCTGGAAACACAAGAGAGCAGGCTGAAAAGAGGACTGGAGAATTTGTACAAACAGATGGCATTTTTCTTGCCTGTGCTTCTAAATTAAAACTCTGAGTGTAAACCAGGAGTAAAAGTTGACATTTTACATCTAGAGAAAAACCTCTTTAAGGCATGTCATAGTAATAGCACCAAGCAGTCCTGTGAAGGACTTGGGAGGTCTCACATAACTGAGAAATACAGTCTAATAATATGCATTATGTTTTCCTTCCCTTTAAGATGCTTGTGTGCTTTGTATATGTTACTGACCTTTGTTTGTTCTTAACAAACATAGGAAACGCAGTAATGTGATACACCTAACAGAGGACTGGAACATCTCTAGTTTTGGTGCTTAGGATTTTTTTTTTAAACCCCTAAAAGGACAAGGATTTCATTAGTTTATAACTCCAGCATGTAAGTTCCATCCTGAGACACTACTTGCCATTTCAGGCTCTAGCTAAGAGGCAGCTTTTTGCGTAGACTATGGTTCATTACCCTTAAGTGACAGAGACATTTTGTATCCTTAAACATGTTTTTTTCATAAATGCACTGGATTTATTGTAAAGCACACAATCACTGTTTTTTGTGTGGAAGGGAAAATAAACTATTTTAAAAGATTTTATTAAAATATCATTTTACTTTAATTTTTACTTAGCCTTTGGGAGAAGGCAAAACACTTTAAAATTCTTGTTGATAACCCGTCAGTGAACTAGTCCCTCCGCTGTGGTTATGGGACCAGTTCATAACCTTTCCTACAGCTGGCTGGTAGCAAACTCTTCATTGTGCCTTAAACGAGTTGACTGTTTCCCTCCATCATTAGGGTCTTCACCTCTGAATCCTCATTGCCCCTGCGGATCCTCATTCTCCTCTTACTAAAAAGAGACATGTTCCCAAATGGACATTATTCCTGATCTTCGGCCACAACAACCCCATGCAACACTACAGGCTTGGGGAGGAGTGGCTGGAGAGCTGCCCAGCGGAAAAGGACCTGGGGGTGCTGGTTGACAGCCGGCTGAACATGAGCCGGCAGTGTGCCCAGGTGGCCAAGGCCAACAGCGTCCTGGCCTGTATCAAGAATAGTGTGGCCAGCAGGAGTAGGGAAGTGATCGTGCCCCTGTACTCAGCACTGGTGAGGCCACAGCTTGAATCCTGTGTTCAGTTTTGGGTCCCTCACTACAAGAAGGATGCTGAGGTGCTGGAGCATGTCCAGAGAAGGGCAACGAAGCTGGTGATGGGTCTGGAGCACAAGTCTTATGGGGAGCGGCTGAGGGAACTGGGGTTGTTTATTCTGGAGAAGAGGAGGCTGAGGGAGACCTTATCGCTCTCTACAACTACCTGAAAGGGGGTTGTGGCGACAAGGATGTTGGCCTCTTCTCCCAAGTAACCAGCGATAGGACGAGAGGAAATGGCCTCAAGTTGTACCAGGGGAGGTTTAGATTGGATATTAGGAAAAATTTCTTCACCAAGAGGGTGGTCAGGTATTGGAACAGGCTGCCCAGGGAGGTGGTGGAGTCGCCATCTCTGGAAGTGTTCAAAAAACATGTGGACGTCGCGCTTCAGGACATGGTTTAGTGGCGCTGGATTAATGGTTGGACTTGATGATCTTGAAGGTCATTTCCAACCTTAGTGATTCTGTGATCTCTTACAAAATTTTATTATATTGAATATCTGAACCAACTTCATGAATTTGACTAGCCCTAATCCCTTCTGGTCTTTATCAACTGGCAGACAGTCTTAAAACCCTTCTGTTCATGTCTGGTTTGGTTAAAACTCTGCTGTTTTTCTGAGGAAAAGCTGCATAGGCAAGAATAAAGTTCCTAGGAATGTATTCCATGATGGAACCAATGAACTGCACTTGGGTTCCTGGCTTATGGCATGAGATCTTAGAAAATCCTCTTCACCCTGTGACTGCGGTGAGGTCAGCTCAACTTGAGATGCTGTGGCAGTAGCATCCTTAGGAACAGCAGACTCAGCGCTGATGGTCACTGTGGCCTCGTGGTGAGTGTGCCTAGCTTTATAGTTGGGAAGTTCTCTCTGACTGTCAGTTTTGTTTGAATTTATTAGAACACCGTGGTCCTCCATCAGGAACAAACTCTGCCAGGCAGAGCCCAGCTCCACAGCACCGACCTCTGGGATCAGCACAGATCAACCCTTCCAGCACAGACAGGTACAGAGCTTTTGCTTCTGGCAAAAGGAACTGAGAATGGCTAGAAAATCTTGACCAGAGGGATTGTTCATGCAAAGGTAACATCCACACCCTTTTATCTCTGTTTAGGGGAGCTATGGAAGGTGAAGCTGGAAAAGAAGGTTCAAATAGTTACAGGCTTTCCTGGCCCGAGCATAAGCACTTGACACAGTCCGATGCTGGCGTTGTTTCAGTTATTGGTAGCCGTCATTCCCACGTACAGGTAACCATCCAGAGGATGCGGACACATGCAAAATACTCGTTCGTCAAGACACTACAGTGACATTGCCAAAGAGTATTGAAAAGCAGAACAATAAAACATTTCCCTGTTAGACATGGGTAGAAAAGTTGCATATAAAAATGCATTGAAGTGTTTCAGAGAATGTTTTTGCTAATGTTTTAAATTTTATTATCTCCTTAGTATAGTATAATACCCATTATAATTATAAAAAAAACCCCAAAAATGCTTGCAATGAGGCTACTACAGACCCTTTGGCAAAATTTCTTAAAGAAATTTCATGCATATCTAAAACTTAAAAGGAGAAACGCTCTGTATGTTTAGACTGAGAATGAAACCATAACATCTAATCGCACATGAGTTGTGATGAATTCAGTTTGAAGTGTGGATTGCACGTTTCTCGAAGTGTAGAAATGCATGAAGCATTTTTCCAGAAAAAACAAAAGTTTAAATCTGCCTACAGGTTCTTTTTTTTTTTTTTTTTTGTCTGCCTTCTACACAGAATCCTAGCTGTTTCCCAGTAGAGTTGGAAAGGGGCCCTCGGGGGTTTGGATTCAGTCTTCGAGGAGGAAAGGAGTACAACATGGGCTTGTTCATCCTTCGCCTTGCTGAAGATGGGCCAGCTGTCAAAGATGGGAGAGTACATGTGAGTTTGTCTTCTCTAATAAATTTGTTGATCAAGTTGGCCTTTTGACACATTAATTTACCCAGTGGCAACAAACTGTGTTCTTTCATGAGTGCAGGGTCCCAGCAGGCAGAACAGCATTAGGACAGCTGCCCTTCTTCCAGCCATCACTGTGCAGTGACAGCAAATGCTGCGGCGGTAGGCTTTCAAAGGAGAAAATACATAACAGGTCTGGCCATCCCAAATGAACTGTCCATCCATGTGTGAATTACAGTAACGTACATATCCCAGGGTGTAAGCAGCAGCTACTTGGGATTCTTTAGGAGCCCAGACAAGAAAATTGCATAGGGGAGCAGAAAGCTGAAAGGAGAATCACTGTCCAAGTCAGTGAAATTGTAAGGAATGTTTGTGTGTACATTGTGCTATTGCTGTTCTGTGCAGTGTTTGGAGATATAAATCTAACTTTTTTTCAAAGATTATTAATGTTGATTCTTACATTTGTGTGAGAAATTCACTTTCAACTATTGTAGTAAAAGCAAAATATATGGGTACAATAGCAAAGAAACATTGCTTTTGTACCCATAAAGCATATGGGTACATATCATATTGTGATGTGTATGATATGTGAGAATCTGTGACTACTGCCCAGAGCTGAATTTTCAGAGGCTGGAGCACAACGCTGAGCCACGTGCTTGTGAGATGCCGTCCCACCTGCAGTCCTGGTGCTTCACTGCACGTATGGCCACTGGCCCAAGGCGTTGCCTCCATTTGTACTGTAGTTTGTAGAATAGTGTGGACAAAGACACTTGCTGGGGCTACTGTGGGGCTTAACTGGATGTGAAATTCTAAACATTTTTAACTTCTATTATCCTAATTCTTTTCAGTAATTAGCATTTTTCCCTCATGCTTGAGAGACTACATGAGTGTAGTATTTAGTACTAATATTTTCTCTTCTATTGTTCCTTCAAGTGGTGTTACACTAAGCTCCAGGGCTTTGCTTTCCGGGCAAGAGCAACCAAGAGGTTCCCAGCTGACCGTACTGTGCTTTACGTAGATGACCTGTGCCAAGGCACGGGTTGGTGTGGGGACTGTGATAGCAAGGTAATGCTGAAGGCACTCCAGCTCCCACGTGTCAGCTTTCACTCTGGACTGTGGGTCCTCAGCAGTCTTGCGCAAATCCCCCTCCCACCACGTGGCACCAAGCACCTTACTGTGCAGGGGATGTGTGTATACAGGGATGCGTTTGCGGCGATGGAAGGCGGGGGTCACATCCCATGGGGCACGTCAGCTCTCCGCTGTGGAGGAGCAGGGCCACGAGCGCTGTGCCGTGTGGCCCCAGCAGTTTGGAGCAGAGAGGGGCTGTGCTTGCCCAGCATGAGGTTATTCGCATCCTTCAGTCCCTCCCTCATCAGCTGGAAAATGGTGTAGTTTTCTGGCTGTACTTCAAAACAGTGAAGACAAATTTCTCACCCAGTTAATGGCAACTGAGCATGAGGGGAGGCATGTCGTGCAGTGTGGAGTGTCCTGTCCTGTCCAATGCAAAACCAGCCAGTGACCTCCTTTGGCAGAGACGGCTTGTTTAACAAAGCCCAGTCAGTCTCTTTAGCTGTTGATTTTATGCACTAGTGACATCCGTTGGCTGATCCATGTACTGCGAAATACGTTTCATGACACTTTTTGTCGGGATGCTATTCCAACCCCTTTCCTGCAACGGTGGTGTGAACTGTAATTACCTGCCCAATACCTCTGTAAGTTGCTAACTGGCCTCAGAGACCTTAGTACTGGTAACAGTATAGTGGTGATCTCCTACCTGGAATAAAAAAGCCTTTCCTTACATAAAACCTCTTCTGCCACAATAGCATTCAGCTCTGCATCAAGTGTAAAGAAGTTGCTGTGCTACTTACCTAGACAGTGTGACTTTAAACAGGCGCATGGTGCCAAGTTTGATGTGGTTCATCCCTAAGCTCCCTCCATATGATGATCCAGAATAAAAATTCATTCAAGCACATGGCTGTATCTGTCTCATCACTTGTAAATAAATGGAAGATGTGTTTAAGAAACCTGAGATCTTTTACTGAGCTGGCTGAGCAGAAGACCCACATGAAGCACTCTGAACTGCCAGAGCATTGCATCACATTAATCAGCAGCTGTGGGATGGTGTTGCTATTGCTGAGTGGATTTTAGCATGAGAGGAAAAATAGAAACATCTGACTCTATTTTTTTCTTTCTAAATTAAGAATTAGTTTATAGTGTCAAGCGATTCATAAAGACTAACCTGGTTGCTATTTTCTCATCAGGTTGGTGACCAAATTGTTGAAATTAATGGAGAACCCACCCAAGGAATCACTCACACACGAGCCATTGAGCTGATTCAGGCTGGAGGGAATAAAGTTTTGCTGCTGCTGAGACCAGGGACTGGCTTGATACCGGATCACAGTACGTCATCTCAAGTGTTGTTTCGTTTTGAGGGTCCAAGGCAGTGGAGTGCAGTCTGATAAGAAGACTTTGGTGCTTGTTCACTGAAATAGTTAGCAATTTCCTTTTTGACAGCTGTGCAGGTGTTCGTATTTGTTCTAAAATATAAGAAATATTTTGGGTAAAGTTAACACATGACAAGTACCTAGGAATATTACACAGTGTGAAATTATTGCATATTTGTAACTGTAATAAGTTTCTCAGCTCTGTCCAAGCTAATCAGGTTTACCTATACAAATGTGATAATTAACACTGATTGCCTTTTAATTTTAAATTAAAATTCTCTATGATACAGCACTCAGTTCAAAATGCCTATATTGTTAAGTATATTATTTCTGTACAGATTTACTTCACTGTTTTTTAGCTTTCTAAATTATGGAATACTTTGTTTTTGAAAGCCAAAACTTGAGAAAGCAGGGGGAGAGACAGCTTTGCTCTCCGAGTGGATTCTGTTTGTTTAAAGTTGTGAATTCTGCATCTACAACAGGAAAGCACAACTTCGTAGGCAAAAAAAAAAAAAAAAAAAAGGACAGAAAAGTTAAATGCATGCAGGACTTCTGAGTCCAGCTGCAGAGCACAGAACTGACAGTTTTGAGTCTGACTTAGGAAATGCTCCAAAACTACAAATCAAAAAGACTTGTGGCTGTGGCAGTACTTTAAAGCAAAGTACTTTAAAACTTTCTCTCCGAGTACATGGTTTAATCTTTTAATCCTTGATGCTGGCACCAAGAATCTGATGGTAAACTTCTTAAATTGTAAGGTCACTTTTTCTGATTAAGAGCTTTTCAATAACAGTGACCAACCATGAGTTTATCCTTTGAAAATTTTAAAACACAGAGTTTGAACTACCAGATAGTTTGTTGTGTTCAGTTATTTACAGGCAGCAACTGGCATCCACTCAAGGGATAACATCTGCTCAGAACTTTCTCAATTTCTTTCCTCCAGAGAGCTAGAAGATGGCTCTTAACATCTTACTGTTCCAGCCGGCACAGCACAGTAAAATCAGTGCATTAGCGCATGGCATGGAAACAGCCCATCTGTGAACTGCAAGGTCTGTTCTGTGCCGTCTTACTAGATTCCTGGCTGGCTGGGTTTGTCTCTCACACTGAATTACCTTCTCATTAAAGGTGAAAGTTAAATACAGTCCTCCTTGTTTTCTGATGAGCTTCTGTTGAGGTCCTCTTTAAAATCAGCATTTACAAGCTAGAAGAGAGGGAGGCAGTGTGAGGGTACCTCCAGCTCTCTCCTTACTAACAGCTATTTAAGCTTGGTATAATTTCAGCAGTGATAAACATTGTTTATCCTGCACCACGAGGGCAGCACAGCCGTTATCTGGAATCACTCCTGGCCCTCTTGTTCACAGAAATCTCCCGAGTCTGAGGTAGAAACACACACAATCATAGAAAAAGTCTGAAGGAATCTCTGGAGACCATCTCAACCAGCCCTCTGTCAAAAGTGAGGCCTGAGACTGCATTAAACAACTTAAATTAGATGAGCAACTGTGGAGAAGGGAAGAGTTTTGTTGCCTCTTGTCTTGCTGTTAATCACACATTTCTGATTGAAATCTTGCTTGCTGTACTCTGTGATTTTGGTATGTAGTTCTGGGCTTTTTCTCTTCCTCCTTCAGGTTTGGCTCCTTCCAGTCTGTGTCCCTACGTGAAACCTGAGCAACATTAAGGGCTTTCAGTGCTTTTCTTGGTTTTTCCTTAAAGACTTGGTAAATCTGCATGTCTTGTGTTTCATCTCTTCCTATTATTAAAGTGCAAAGCTATGGATAACCTTACCTTTTCCCTGTTTTCAGTTTTCTTTTACCATAACAGTTTCAGTTGATTTAGTTTCTTATATTAAACAATGTAGGTCAGGGACTTCCTATTTTTTAATTTTTCTATGTAGGCTCTAAAGTTGTGCTGATATAAGACTCTGTCAGTCCCACAAAGATTGTGCCAGCGTTCTAAGCACAAGTTTTTTTCCCAGATCACATCCTTATGGTTGTTGTATGTTGCAGAACAATGCAATATAGAAAAGTGACTAAATAAGACTTTGAGAGTATGCCACTACACAATCTTTTTAAATTGAAGATTTCATATAACATCCTGGAGCCTCAGTAGTATGCATGTTTCTAAAACATTTAGTGATTTTTTTTTTTTTTAATCATTTAGTCAAATCTCTCACTGTTCACTTCCAGGTGATTGGGATAGTTATAATCCATCTTCATCAAATGTAATATATGAAGAACAGTCACCATTATCTTCATCTTCACATTATGCTTCCCCATCTGAAATGTGTTATTTACCAGTACCAGGAGAAGCTTTAACAAGAGTTCAGCTATCTGAGAAACTGGAACATGCAAAGAACACTGTGCCTGAAAAAATAAGCACTTTAACTGAAAATCAGTTTGAGATGAAGCCTCTGTCTTCTCCCCAGAGAGCAAAGAACAGATGGGAATGTCCCTCCAGTCCTGGGTTTGAAATCACAAAAGGTAGTTTGGAATTAGGGACCAGAAGAGACAGATCTGCAAGTCCAGAAAAGTTAGTGGCTGCTGAGGGACACCCTCACAGAGGATTCCACAGCCCCAGAAAAGGGGATCCTGAAAAAAACTATGGCAATCTCTCACATAAATCTGACAGTTCCAGAAAGAGTGAGAGTAAACACACAGAAATAGGGATGAACAATAGTAACAAAAAAGAGTATTCCAGTGGAAATCAAGGAAGGTCTGCCAGTCCCCAAAAGCATCTCAGTAAGCAAGGAAACATAGAAACAGTAGGCAGGTTACAAGAATATCAAGATAGAACAACGGGTGGTGATAAGATGACTGTCGAGCAATTGAAAGGTGGAAATGGTAAAACAGGAGTCACCAGGAAAGACATGAAGCAGAAAACTTCTGGAAAGACGGAAGGGTGGTCTCCAGAGCGACAACATGCAACATTTGGTGAGAATAATCTTCCTTTCAGGGACTCTGGGAGAAACACATCTGAAGATGAAAAAATAAAGAAGTCAAACTCTGGAGAACCAAGTTCCACCAGATTGAAAACTTCCAGTCTTTCCAATATTCCACTGCTTTCCATGGAGAAACAAAGAAGGCTAGAAACACAGGAAACTGTTGTGCTGAACAGACAACACAGAGGGAGGCACATGGAGCTGCCCGATGAAACCAAAGATGATGGAATTTCCAAATCTGAGAATAGTTCTTCAGTCAAGAAAACACCGATAACTCCTGGACCTTGGAGGGTACCAAGTGCATGTAAAGTCACTCAAACAGCAGGTGTGGCTGAAAAACGGGTTTGACGGACACTTTTTTTTTAAGAACATGTTTTAATCAAGTTTCTAATAATGGTCATTTAAAAGCGTTGTTTCTTTTCTTGAAGTTGTCATTTTTTTCAGAAAATGGTTAGAGGGTGGAAAGTATTTGATTCGTTCTTAAATTATCTAAGCTGCATGAAGGACCTTTTGGATTGCTTAAATGAAACTCTTCCATAAGCTGCTGTCCCCGTGTCCTTTTGAAGGCGGTGTTCTGCTGCTCTCAACGTTGCACTGCTACGGCTTCCTCAGATAGTATTGTGAGTTTCTGAACAAAATTATTTAATGCCTATATTGCCAATGTGATCATGACTCACTTCTTGTTCTTGTGCCAAGTTATCTACTGTATCCAGTCAATCTAATTCTTCTCATATGTATTCCAGTCACAGGAAAAGTGAGGTTTTGTTTGAAATGGGTATTTTCTCAAGAGCATGTTGCATGTTTACATAAGGAAATACGCATGTTCTTACTGGTTCAGTAAGAAGGTGGGTGAGTTGGTTCTATCAGTTCCAGGGCAGCAAATGAGCCACTGATGCTGTTCAATTGATGGTTTTTCTTAAATTTTTATACCTAATACAAAATCGTGTAGATAAAAATTATATTTGACATAATCAATGTTTTGTAATTTTGCTTTATATGAACACAGCAAAATTGCTTTATTTTCTGGATTCGTGAGGATACTTATAACAACTGTTTGCAAACATCTGTCTGGGAAGAAAAATTCTAGGTTCTGTTAAATAACATAATTCCTTTGGTTTCACTTGTGGCACTATGTCATCCTTAGCATTCTTTGTAAACATGAGCAATGACTGCACATTTATTTTCAGCCTCACTGTGGTGCTGTATACTGAACTCCCATCTTTAACTATTTAATGCTAGTTAGGAGTTGGATTTTTTTGCTCTGTAGAGATAACAGCTGACCTTTAGGACAGAACCAACTGCTATAGTAGCTTCTTAAATGAAGTTCTTGCCTGTTTATATTAGAAGTCTCCCATATGTTACTTCGAATGTGTGATCTGGTCTGAGTGCTAAATAGGATGATACACAGGTACATGAAACTTCGTATCTATTGTTTGGGCTATAATACATACTTTAGCAAGAGGAATGTTACCACCAAAATCTACTGACACATCTGTCCTACAGCTGTAAGAACACCAGACTGCATAAATTGAAGGGGTTTATTTTATTTGTAATGTTAGTGATGATTTCCTGACATGTTAGGTTTTTAATGATGGCAAAAAAGTGGTAAAAAGAGGCCATTGGTCCAGTTTGCAGAAGGAGAAAGAAGTGTAAAAGGCCAAGCTTTACTGACTCATGTTAAAGTTCAAACTAATTACGATTTCCTAGTAAATTAATTAGTATCTTGTTTTGGCTTTGAAACATTTTATCTTTTTAAAGCTTTTAAATCTTAATGAAGCACAGTGAATCAGTTCCGAGTTGAATTCTTTAGAAGTACAGGTGACTACTCCAACAGCTTTTTCAACAAAGACTTTGAAAATTAAACAGGCTTTAAAGCAGATGTGAACTGTGCTCTGCTGCTTGACATTGGGTGACCCATTGAGATTTGCTGTGTAGCATAATATGTACAAATACTCCATGTTGTGGAGTATGACTGTGAAAGTATTTAATACTTTGAAGTAGCCTATGTAGATATTAACCATGTATTCTTAACAAGAGATTCTGTTTTATGTTGAGTTGTATGGACTTGCCCTAACCACTGAGTACAGTAACAAATTCAGATGTTTAATACAAAGATGAATTAGCACCACTGAAATTATTTCCCTGTCATCAACTATCCCTATATTTTTTCTATATGTTAATGTGACCTGATTTAGTGTCTTACCTGTGTGCGATTTCTCCTTCCATAGAACTTGTATCTGTACTTACTTGTACCAGATGACTTAGCAATGTGGCCTTGGAATGCTAAGCAATGTATGGATGTACTGGGTGTAAATGTTTATATATTGTACAGCACCTTTATACATACTTCTGAGGTTCTGACTAGAGAGAGACCTGTAAATCACTCATTATTTTTTATATAGATATTAAAAAGAAACTCCAGTTCATGGCCTGTTGGTTCTGCACTGTATAAAATAGACTCTTTGTTGACTTTCAGTGGTGTGATACTTTAAACAGCTAAATCTCTAACCCAGGTTTTACCCACAAACTTTAATACTCCTCTGGAAAACAAAAGCAATTTATTATTGGAAGTTTCCTTGACTCCCTGTTCAAATAACAAACGTTCAACAAAAGTATTACAAAAATCATCAAGTAATGTAGAAACAGTTGTTAATGGTGAAATACTTGTACTGTAGGTTTATTTGTACATTGATATATAAAATTGCCATCTCCTTTTACATTTTACAACATTTCCTTGTACAGAAAATAGCTGTAAACAATTTACTACCAAAAATTCTTATGCCATCTTACCCCTTACATGAAAGAATGAAGCTATGAAAAGTTCCTCAGTTTTTGCTTTTTTCATTACTAATATAAGATGATGGTAGAGTCGGTTAAGGAAAATGTAAGTTTAAGAGATGTCTGTCTTCTAAACAAAATGTTTTATCCTCTTTTGGGTGAGGAAGTCTTTGCCACATCTCTTCCACTGAACTGATTCTCGCAACAGATTTCTTCCTCAGGTATTTCGGTGTAAGGCACTATTGCAGTGTGGAGCTGCAACAGCTGCTCAGCACGACAGGATGCCCTTGGTACAGAGTCCAGGCTAAGTGTAACTAACTGAGGTGTTGCAGGGAACGAGCATAGCAAAACATTCTATACTTAATAGATGCTTGTGTGGTAAGGTTGTTCTCATGTAACTGATGTTTTCAAAAAAACATCATTTATTTGCAGAAGACCCAATGTAAGCCAACCAGCATGAATCTGTTATATTGTTTAACTTTCAACATGGAGGCAGACTTCATCTTGTGCAGACCAAATTTTGCTGCATCCTGCAGTAGTTCAGGGTAAAGAGGCAAAGCCTCAAGCATGCTGAGCTTGTAAGAAGGGAAAAATACTTTTCAGCACATACATACAGGTGAATGCATCTACATAGTACCAGTCTGAGCAGAGCTCTGAAGAAGGATGCACAAAATTTAAACATTTCAGTGTAGCTCCAAGAGCTCACTGAAAAAGGATGATGCTAACTCTTCACTTGTCACATGCACAGGAAACAAGGCACCTGTAGCAATCATCGGTGTCCCTTGAGCAGGAGCTCTCACATGGCTTTTAGTGTTTGATGCCCCACACTGTGTGCACATGGTTATGGCTATTTTCAGTGCCAGCTACTAGTATTTATTTGGCCCCAGAACTCTGTTTTGCTGTGTGTCCATGACATAGGATGACTTTACTAATTAGACCAGTTTATTATTTATGTGTTAGAACAGTAAAGTAGAAGGAGAACTTCTCATATGTACACTGAGAATCTGTCAAAAAAGTGGTAATTGCAGATTTCCGTAGTCTGAGAGCACCTCTGGTTTTTGCCGAAGCTATTGGTTATTTATGTTCTCTGGTCTGTCTTTCTGGTGGAGAGGGCTGATGTTTGGGGTCAGGTCACGGTTTAATTTTCCATAACTGAAACGAGATATAGAGAGTGAGTATTGGTCTGAAAGCCACAGGTCTGAATGCCTTTCATCTACAGGTAAAACTCAAGTCTCCTTTGCCTATCCTATGTTGAATGCTCTGCTCAGCAAGCTCTAATGTGAAAGTCTGAGTCACAGGAGAACGGTGTCTTCATTCTAAAGGGAAGGAACCCAGGATTCTGACTAGTGGCTGAATGGGGCCACTGAGGACAGTCAAGCCTGTCCTCCTCCCTGCCAGACTGGCTCAGGGAGATGGAGCTTCATTCAGCATGGTCTGTTCTCTGAATTACCACGTAGAGGGAGCCTAATGCAAACCCATGATCTTTCTGCTTGGGTGCGAGGAATTTGGCAATGGTGTTTCCTGTTAGTTTGTATGGGAGTCAGTTATACTTACTCTGATATTGAATCCTAGAAGATCACTTATAACACCTGAGACAGCAGAGAGTATTACAACACGTGTTATATTATAAATTAATGGATTCATGGTCAGTCCATACAGCCTAAATGGAGTATCTAATTCCTGCAGTGAAAGGGGAAAAAAAAAAGTCCATTAGCATTAGTCCATCCCATAAGGAGTTAATCTTCTAACTTTTAGCTTAATAC